AGGTATGTTTTGACGCTGGGATGCTGGTTTAAGCTGGTCCTTTGCTGGTTTAAGCTGGTTCTTTGCTGGTTTATGCTGGTCCTTTGCTGGTTTATGCTGGTCATGTGCCGGTTTATGCTGGTCATGTGCCGGTTTATGCTGGTTTATGCTGGTCATGTGCCGGTTTATGCTGGTCATGTGCCGGTTTATGCTGGTTTATGCTGATCCTTTGCTGGTTTATGCTGGTCATGTGCTGGTTTATGCTGGTCCTTTGCTAGTTTATGCTGGTCCTTTGCTGGTTTATGCTGGTCCTTTGCTGGTTTAAGCTGGTCCTTTGCTGGTTTATGCTGGTCCTTTGCTGGTTTAAGCTGGTCCTTTGCTGGTTTATGCTGGTCCTTTGCTGGTTTAAGCTGGTCCTTTGCTGGTTTATGCTGGTCCTTTGCTGGTTTAAGCTGGTCCTTTGCTGGTTTATGCTGGTCATGTGCTGGCAAAGGACCAGCATAAACCAGCAAAGGACCATCTTAAACCAGCATCCCAGCGTCAAAACATACCTAACCAGCATATGCTGTTTTTTTCAACAGGGCTGGCAGCTTTTAGAGCTTGTCTATAGCTGGACATATTGTTTTTCTACGCAATTCTAAAAACTTCCAAGTTAGTTTTTCTCCATTTGCGCTCAAGATTACTTGCCATTAAAGCAAGTAACAGTGAGTAAAACAAAGGTAATGTGTGTGAATAGAGTATTAGCAATGTAAGCGAGATTAGCGGCAACCACGCTGGCGATGCTAACGGGCTATATGCTAATAGCGGACTCGGGAAATCAAAATAAAACTGATTGTTTTTGTTGTAGAATACGATAGGGGATATATTCACACGTTATTGAAAAGGAAATGATGGGGTATAACTTGGATTTTAAGATAAAAATACACGATAAAGAATTAACTTGACGCAGCTCAAACTCAAAAAGTTTGAAATGGGGTGTCCTTATATAACTGTTGAAAGACATCAGTGAAAGTTGTGAGAATGCTCCCTGTTCGCTGGATTATGCTATTATCTTGATTGATGAATGTTTATGTATATGTACTGGAAAACAAGACATCTAAAGATGCAGTAGGGACAAACGCAGCTGTGAACACTGCAAACTAGTGAAGTTATTACTGTAAACAGCTGATGACAGCCTCATGTTCACATGTACAGCCGGAGATTCATGCACAGCTCAGGACTCCCAACAATCGGAGCAAACGGTGTCAGCAGCAGCGTTCACACCTGATATCCATTACATCATGTATTTTTAAGGTGGAAAACATCTTGCATATGTTGTAAAGGACCATCACATCCAAAATAACCTCTCTAATCATCAAGTGACAGACACATTAAAACACGTGTCTCAGAGCTCAGTCTTCACAGAGGAAGCAGAGGTGACATCTCTCACATTTGTCAATGCACAGAAATCTTAAACCAGCATTAATTGCTTCACAGTTATATTTTTGTCAAGCGGAATGAATCCGATCTGATTGCAGAGTATTAAAGTGTAGTTTATATGAACCTGAAATGCTGCAATCAGATGCACATATTTGTTTAAATGTGCATTACTTC